CAAGGTTCCTCACAGTAGTACTGGAGGCAAGAGCTATGTCATCTAAAGTAACTATATGATTAGACAGCAGATTTCTAACATTTTCAGGCCCAAGCACAATGACTTCAGTTTTGTCAGAATTTAAAGGAAGAAGTTGCAGGTCATCCAGGACTTTATGTCTTTAAGACATGCTTGAAGTTTGACCAGCTGATCTGATTCATTTGGCTTCATAGATAAATATAATTGAGTATCATATGCATAACAATGCAAATTTATGCTGTGAACCAACTTAGTGCAGTTCCTTTAATCCCAATAACGTGTTCAAGTCTCTGCAGCAAGACGCTGTGATCAATGGTGTCAAAAGCAGCACTGAGATCTAAGAGGACAAGTATGGAGACCAGTCCTTTATCTGAGGCTAAGAGAAGATCATTGGTGACTTTCACCAATGCAGTTTCTGCACTATGATAGACTCTAAATCCTGACTGAAAATCCTCAAACAAATCATTCTTGTGCAAGTGGTCACATACGTAACTGCTTAGCAACAACTTATTCCAGAATTTTAGAAATAAATGGGAGATTGGATATTGGTCTATAATTAGCTAGGACATTTGGGTCAAGAATAGGCTTTTTGAGTAGAGGTTTAATTACTGCAACTTTAAAAGCCTGTGGAACATAACCTGTTAATAGAAAAAGGTTAATCAGATCTAGTATGGATGTGTTGATTAGGGGAAAGACGTCTTTGAGCAGCCCGGTTGGGATGGGGTCCAGGAGACAATGATATGATCCATAAGTTAGAGGGGGCTGTGGATCAGGGGCTAAGAGGGTCGACCTCTGATCACAGGTTTGGCTATTTGTTTCCCAGTCTTCCAAGGCCAGTGCCCTGTACAGCATCTCCGCCGCCATGTGTGTGTGTAAATGGGTGAGTGGGTGAATCTGTAAAGCACTATGTCCAGGTATGGTAGAAAAGCGCTATATAAGTTTGAGATGGAAAAATACTAGTACTACTTTATAACTCTGTAGTTACTGCATATTCCATCTTGACAATTAGAATTACTTCACAAATTACTTCAACCAGAGTTTCCACATATTTAACTGGCCAATATAGTGCTTGGCCAAATGATGTAGCTTTGCTTTGTAGTAAAAGTTGAACCAGGTTTTAATAATAATAATAATAATTGTCTATTGGCCAGAGACCTCTGATTTGGCAATCCCACTGTCCCAATGCAGCACTCTTATTGAAATAGATAAGGAAGTTGTGTTTTTTCACTCTGGACTAATCTGTTTGAAAAAGGCCAAAACCTGAGTGATGTGAACAGAATCTTTAAAATATATTATCTACAGTCTGTAGTGATGAAACTAAACAATGACCCAGGCTATGGCAAATCACAAAGGCAAAGCTTTCCACCCAGAATAAAACACCCGGTGTCTCCTTCAGTTACCTGAGACTCCATAATCACTCTGTACTAGCAGCTGTCCCACTGATGTGTCTTTCAAAGTTTGTTGTGTTTTATCTCCTCTTTATAAGGAGAGGTCACACCTGTATGAGGGCTTAGTGTGTGTGATGTATGGGTGGAACCAGGTGCTCCTCCGCTCACAAGGCCCAGCTGCCTGTCACAGATAAGAGACCGGGTATGCATCAACTAAACGTTTGTGTGTGTGCATGGGTGAGAGATACAAGTTCTACCGCAGTATGTGTCACATGCATCGTCTGGCCAGTGTAATGATGTATCGAGGCTGACTGCGTATGACACATACACACAATACAGATCCATAGCTCTGTGCATGTCTGATCTATTCTCTGTTTGGAGATACAGTACATTGCCAGGCAGTGTATTATCTGGATTGTGAGACCTTCACTTTCATCCTGCTTTGATTCTGCATGACTCCTAGAAATGATTTCGTACTGCTTTACCCAAGTTCTTTTATTGGACAGATCTGAATAAGGAAGGAGTCCGTCTTTCTTCATTTTAGTGTTTATTTATTTAAACCACAAGCAAAGTTACAAAACACAAACCAGGTGGCTCCTTCCTCCAGACATCCACAGGCAGGCTGCTGGAAAAAAGAGAGCCCCAGAAGCACAGAGCCTAATACATTTATATGTTTTGGGCTAACCCCTTACACAAAAAGATTACAAACCATCACGAGATGGAGACAGTCTGATGACTCCATCTCTTATCTTATGCTCCAGCTGCATGGAGCCGCTGGCCATAACAAAATGAAGAATTTCAATGTGTGTGTGTTGTCACGTGGTGCTTAACTAAAACATTCACTCAGACATAATTCTAACACAGGATGAATACAAGAAAACAATTGGTGTCAAGGTACACTTTTCAGAATCAACATTCTATCTGTCAACCTTGAAACAGAGCAGACTTTAATTCTTACTAAATTGCATTACTAATACATTTGATTCAGCACATTAATGTATAATAATCTGACTGATTTATTCTAACATCTAACAGTACTGAAGACACAGCAGAACTGAATGTGAGTAACCAAAAACGGAAATTCAAAGTTAGCAATATCAAACTACACTGACACTATCAGCTTGTACAGTGGATCACAAATTCTATCACGCAGTTTAACTGAGCGCAATTTGTCCAGTATGTTCTACAAGATATTTGGACTTACTATAAGTCTTGCTTGATTCTACTCTGTTCCTGTCTTTAGATGAGGTGGCAGCATTCCTCCTTTATGTGAAAACTCTGGACTACCAAGCGAAGCCTGACTACCAGTGCCTCAAAGGCCTGCTGGCCAGCATTGCCACAGAAAAGCTTGACTTCTCCATGCCACAAGAAGCTGTGGAGGAGTTGTCTACCAAGGTGGCAGATCTTTGCACCAAGGAAAAGGTGAGAACACAAGAGGTCAGAGGCCTTTTCTGAACATCTTGAGCTGAGTCAAGGCTTGATATGAGATCATGTCATGTACCAGTGGCCAGGGAATACAGTATATTTTTTTGTCCTTAAATAAGAGATTGCATCAGTATCCAAGCTAATAAAACTGAAATGGTTTTGTCCATTAACAGAGACGTAAAAGACATTTACATGAGAATTGTTTCCAGTAAAGACCTAGCTTACACATGATCTTTAACTAAACCTTACTACAGAAAAGTAACACCTGTTAATAGTTTGAGTCATTTGATCACAGGTGTCTGTTTAACATAAACCTAGTCAGTCGTCAGGCACTATTTTACATGGAATGGTTTTTGCATCCAATGAACATTGTAGAACTCCAGGGTTTGTCACAAATATTCATATTTTAACCCCCGAGTGGGGAAACATGACAAGCAGTGAAAGGGAGGGTTAACCTGCCCCTGACCCCCCTACCCATGAGTACGTCAGCTAGAGGTGGTCAAGTTTGAAGCTGGAGGAGAAGTGCGATTCTCCAGAATCACTTCTTGACCCGTCGGGCCCAGTGAGTGCCCCCTCTCAACAGCCCAATTGGAGAAGCTGATGACACACACTTAACACAGGGTGTCTCCAGTTATACTCCTGATTTCATCTGCACTCCTTGTATCATTTAAATTCCATGCTAAAGTGCTGGCCAGTTTGATCCTTAGTTAAACAGAAGTGGCCATTTAGAGGTGGTTTATTGAGGAGTGAATGTCAGCTGAGATAAACGCATATAGTGGGCAGGTGCACCGAATCATTTGCCATTGTATGCTATTATTTTAGATCCGACAGTGGTTGTAACAAGAAATTGGTCCAAGATGGTATCAAAGTCTATTTAAGTCTCATGAAAATGAAGTTACTAAACTTCTTTTTTGGAAGATATTTCATGACAAGGGTTAAAGTACATGGTAACAAGTCAGCAGCATACACAACTACAGCACAAGTGCCTGTATGAAACACAAATGTGGAGAGAGGAAAAAAAAACAAACATTTGAAAAACTTTTTCTTTGTAAACTGGCTTCAGAAATGAACTTCTCTCAGCAGAAAGCAGGGCGAGCCAGAAGACCCTCCAAAGCCAAACCATCAGCTACATCGATGGATGAAGTACAGGAGCATATGAAGTCTAAACCAGTGCTGGATGCCAACACATGTCGACCACCCCTTACTAAACTTCAGTCACAAGAGGTCAGTCCTGAAACAACTCAGTAATAAACATGAGTTCATTTTCTGTCTCTTCTATGTTGCTTTCAAATGAAGTGAACTTAAACTGAATTAAGTCAAATATTGATGCTTCAATAATAAATGGTCTTGCTGTTTTCTTATAGAAGGAAGAGGGAGTTTTGCCTGCTGTCAGAAGATCACTGAGGCTCAGATGTAAACCTACAAAGTCTTATAAAGAGGACAGTGATGATAATGATGATGATGATGAGGAGGAGGTGGCGGCGGCGGCAGCCAGACCCATTGCTGAGTGCTATCTCAGAGGCCCTCCAATAGGCCCCAGAACTCAGTCTAAACAGGTGTGAGGCCTCATCATTCGAGTAGCCAAAACGCCCTTATGTTTTTAAGTTGTCTGCTGTGTAAATCTTGATTTATGGTTCTGTGTATGTATGCTGTAGGCAATTTTGTATCCTACACTGCCTTCACCTTAGCCAGAAATGTAACTGCACATCAGTTATAGAGCGGGTCGTTTCCTAACAGGAGGATTAGCTGTTCGATTCCCAACTTTTCCAGTCAACATGTTGAAGTGTCACTGAGCAAGACACTGAACCCCTAGTTGCTCCCGGTGATAACACCAGTGTGTGAATGTGTGTGTTTGTTTGGAAGTGTGAATAGGTGAATGGCCAAGTAGTGTGAAAGCGCTTTGTGTGCGCTGTAAAGCATAGAAAAGCACTGTACAAGTATAAGACATTTACCATTTACATCATGGTGATGCAGAGAACAATAGCTGCCTTTGGTTGCATTGCAGTTCATTCATGTCTCAGTGGCAAGACAAGCACGGGAAATCCCTCTTGTTCTGCCTCAGTTGGTTCCATGGTCACACAGACCATCTCCTCCCACATCTTCTCTCTCATCTCTGTTGCAGCAATTTCAGTAAAAGTAACTGCTGTTCAACATCTGTTAGTTTTAACCCCAACATGACCTGGGGCCTATTTCAAGAAGGCGGTTTTGTCGAAACTCAGAGTTTGTTAACCCCGAAATGAGGGAAACTCTGAGTTTTCGGTTTCAGAAACGGAGGTAACTTAAACCCGTAAAAGCGGGGTAAGTTAAACCCGTTTCACAAAGAGAGGTAATCTAAACTCAGAGTCAGTTACTATGGTAACTTACTCTGTGAACCTAACCTGCCGAGGAGCAGGTTTTGTTCGGGAAACTCAGAGTTTCCTCCGGGTCTCCGCCCCTTTTTAAAGTGAAAGGTGTTTAATACCTCATTTAATCTTTCAGTAAATTCATAGATTGCACACGTTTCCGCCACGCAGAGACCAAAATGGCGTGTCCATTCATAGAGGATCCTGCAGATGAGGAGGCTGTATTAATTCGCAGGGAATTGCATTTACGTCGGGAGAGGATATTGAGGCCACGAGTTGATTTTTTTGTCATATCCCCATGTATTTTTATTTGAGCGGTACCGTTTTTCTAGAGAGTCCATAACATATATCAATAATCTTATCCACCCATACATCAGACACATCACCCATCGTGGCCGTGCTCTTACATCCGAGCAGATGCTTTGTGTTGCGTTACGATTTGTTGCAAACGGCAGTTTTCTTTATAACATCGGGGATGCAGAGCAAGTAAGGCCACAGTATGTAGAATAGTTCGGAAAGTGTGCCTCACCCTCAAGCGCTTTCTGTGAATTTTTGTTGTGTTTCCTGTTAAAAAAGTATTTTGATTAATGTAATAATTACTCTCCATAAAACGTATTGGATTATTTATTAATCATTACTTTACAAATCCCATATCAACCACAATAGGAATTTTAAGAAAGGGTAGACATAAAACTGCACTTTTAATTCGTACAAAAATCGGTATTTTATGCAATTACTGAAGTTACTCATTCAATTATTGAAGAATTAAGAACCATTCCTTACTTTACAAGTGACAAATAATAACATTACTAACATTATTTAGTAATTACTTACACCGAACACTGTATGATTAAAATGTAAACGTACGCATTGACTCGGGCAGCTATTTTCCCCCAAGCTAACTCTTTCTCTTTCGCCGCTGCAGCCGCGTTGTTTTTTTTTTTTACGAAATATGAGCTCGTAGTCATTATATGCTTGTAGTAGCACATCCATTTCTGTCGGGGAAAAACGCAGACCTATTTTGGCTTGGTCCTGTTGCCATGGTGACTCGTAATTTCTTCACTCCATTGTTCAGGGCTTTTTATATTTGCGTGGCACGCGCCTAACTCTGAGTCAGACAACTCAGAGTTGATTAAACCAACGCTTTTCAGCTGTTCTGAAACTGAAAACTCTGAGTTTTCCAACTCTGAGTAAGTCAACTCAGAGTTCAGGTTTGAACTCTGAGTTTGTTAAACCGCCTTCTTGAAATAGGCCCCTGCTCAGTTTCAGTCGCCATTGTTATTAAGTGGCGAAGCAACCCAACACATTCGCATAGAAATTCTACTGCCAACTAGCATTTTGGCAGTGTAATTTGTTAGGTATTTTTAGTCAGATAGAAACTGGATAGATACTTTATGTATTAGAAATGTTTAGTGGAGATAGGATGTCTGGTTAGACTGTTAAATGCTTAGGCATGCTTATGAGTTTCTACAGGGTACATCTGGTCAAGGATAACTAGAGAGAAGAGTTGATGACTGTCAGCAGACAGGGTGTTTAATATTATTATTACGACGTGTATAACTGTAGCCTTATCCATAATATATTCTTATGTTTAAGTCATGACATGTACTAGAGGTCCTGTGAGAATGTTTTTAGTTACACACCACTTAATCAACAGACACACACACACACACACACATTTGACTACTGCTATGGCCAGCTGTAGAGCCGGCAATAGAGACGTCTCAGTTGACGTTTCTGGGTAGTATGGGGCTAGCCCAAACGAGGTGATATAATGTATAGGCGTGGTGGGTTCAGGGTCTTGCATCTTACATCTGCCTGCGAGCAGTTTGGAGGTGCAAGATATCTGAGCGTGTAATGTTAATTTTACCTGTGATCCTTTGAATAAATCAGCACTGTTTTGAAGTTACTTGGACTGCCTCGTCTCTGAGTTAGCAATGGTAACAAGAGCCATAGTCCTACAACATGGTGCCGTTTGACCCGTGAGCCAGCTGAACTCTTCAGACGACCAGTCCATTTTCCCGAGCAATGGTCCTGGACCAACAGCGGGAATCCTGTGCCAAGCTGAGCTGGAGATCTGCGGTCCCGGTCTGACTGGTTTCCCTGATGAGAGTGTGACCCCCTGGTTTCAGTCGCAGCTGTGAACAGTCCCACACATCAACGGGCCGGCAAGAAACTATAGGTAAGCGGAACCTTTGGAATATACATAAACTCCGCACATTGAATCAATTCTAAATTAAAGTTGATGTGTGGGCTGCCCACTCTCGACGTTCTAAATTGGATCCTGCAGCGTGTTCTTTTATGAAGAATAATCAGAATCAAATATCAATTTTCAAACATTTATTATCATAACTAAACAGACCATCGAATAAAGCAATTTTCAGAGCTCTGGGTCCCATCTCTATCTGAAGCCCTGACCTCAACAGCAAAACCGTTCAACTCGTCTTCAGGACGAGAAGGAATGCTGTCCTCCTCCATTCAGTTGATTTTATACAATTTCAAATGTGTCCTTGTAGGCTGGTCCGGTCCTCTCGTGCTGTTCTATTGGTCCATCTATCCATCCGTCCTCCTCCTGCATCTTTTCTGCTCCAATGGGAAAAGCAGCTTCCTAAAGATGGAGGAAATTCTACTGTCTGAATTCCTACACTCACTTCTTTCTTTGTTACACTATATGTGACATGGCTTCCCGTTTGGCTAATTAAACTGTCTTGCCTGTGTGTGTCTGTATATTGCCCTGCCTTTGAAGTTGTCTTCCTCTTGTTGGCTTTTAGATCTAATCTCTTGTTTATTACCCTTGGTGTCCCAGTGACCCCAAATTCCCTGGCCTCTTCAGCCAGGTGGTGATAATAAATTAACTGGGACCCTCTTTGCTAAAGCTGTAAATCT